TAGAGAACATTATTGTAAAAAAAGAAAAGAAAAAACATAACATCAAAATTTCTAGTCATGGTTGGAAACCTCATGAATTCCGTTTCTTTTAATCACCCCATTATTAAAATCTAAAATTGTAAAATTTATAAACTAAAGAGAGAAATTTTAAATTGGAGAATCTACCTCAAGGAAATGTTGTTGTGGTTTGATAAAAATAGACACAATTTTTTTAAAAAAAATCATCTAAAATGATTTTTTTTTATTTTGTTTTATTCACCAAACTAGATTTTAGTTTTTAAAAAAAACAGAAAATATAACAAAAATGATAAAATATTTATTGAATTATTAATTTTTCTACCAATTATACCCATGAATATGATCCCATATAAATGTGGATGATTTTATAAACTAAAGAGAGAAATTTTAAATTGGAGAATCTACCTCAAGGAAATGTTGTTGTGGTTTGATAAAAATAGACACAATTTTTTTAAAAAAAATCATCTAAAATGATTTTTTTTTATTTTGTTTTATTCACCAAACTTAGATTTTAGTTTAAAAAAAAAAAAACAGAAAATATAACAAAAATGATAAAATATTTATTGAATTATTAAATTTTCTACCAATTATACCCATGAATATGATCCCATATAAATGTGGATGATCTTCACACTCATGTACATGTAATTAATAAATAAATTAATAATTTAAAAGAGAAATTACAAAAAAAAATTCAAAAATTGAATTTTGTGACAAAATAAATCCTTAAATTTTAATTTTATTAATTTAAATCTAAATATTTTGAATTGTTTTCAATCTAAACTATTTGATAATTTTCGTTAAGTAAAAAAAAAGATATTTTAGTTATTAAACTCAACAAAAATGATATTTTAGATATTTTATGTACACTTATATTGAGTTTAATGACTAAAATATAATTTTTTTGGTTGATTTTACTTAACCAAAATAAGTAAATAATTTAAATTGAAAATAAATCAAAAAAATAATATTAAATTTAAATCGACAAAATCAAAACCTCAAAATTTATTTATTATAAATGTCAAATTCTTAGAATATTTTTTTTAATTTCTCCTAATTTAAAAAGAATCTGTAATAAAGGTTGGAATATAATGAGCAAAGTGGTAGAAGGTGGTAAAAGTCTCGTGAAAGAGTTTAAATCAAATGCACATTTTCACTTTTGTTTGCTCCCGTGCCGAAAGCAACCATCATGATTTATGAGAATCACAAGACAAAAGAGGTTTCCCTTTGTATTGCCCTTACCATCTCCTATCCTATCGTATTCATTCTTTCGATTTGGGCAAACGTTCTACTTTTAAAAGTTTGTATTTGTTTGGGAGGGAAGAAAAATCTTAAGTTTTATCTTATTGAGAAGTGAAAATTTTATTACACGCATGTTATGAAACGTAAAAGTGTAATTAAAGACAATCATTTAGTTTGAATGCTTGTAATTTAATATGAGCTCGTTTAATTTGAATTAAGTTTGTCTATATCTTGAGCTTTTACTTGGATTAACTTTGATCTCTGAATGATCTAATTGAGCTGAATAAAATTTAATCTATTGACTTGTGAGAGGTTTACAGAAGCTCAACGTAATACAAAAAATATATATATAAAAAAAAAAGTCAACTAAAGTAGACTTGTATTTTGGTCCATTTAGGTGTTTTGCAGTTCTTTTAGTTTTTTATCAAGTTTTTTTTGACTTTTTTAGAAAGTGATGTGTCCGTTTGGGAAGGGTTACTTTGGTTATTTTAGTCACAAAAGACAAAATAAACTATTTTAGTCATAAAAAATAAAACATTACATCCAATCCATAATCATTACACTCTTCTCTCATCAAAAACTAAAAAAGCCAAAAGGTCAAAAGGCCCTTCCCAAACAAGACTTTTTAGCCCAGGCTAAAATAGTCAAAAAAGCAAAAAAATCACTTCCCAAACCAATCCTAAAAGCTATTTTTGACTTTTTTGGTTAATATTTATTTATAATGTCACATTACAATAAAATGATAAAATTACCCCACTCCATTTAAAAAATTTATAATTTTCATCCATGTGTAATCCTAAATAATATAAAAAGTATAATTATAATTTTATATGTAACTTTTTAAACTTGTCAAACGACTCCATAACTAAGCCTCCGTTTGGAAAGGGGGTTGGCGTTTTGATTTTTTGATTTTTTTGACTATTTGAGCCTGGGCTTAAAAGTTTGGTTTGGGAAGGGTTTTTTGACTTTTTGACTTTTTTGACTTTTTTTGTGAGAGAAGAGTATAATATTTTAGGTTAGATGTGATGTTTTGTCTGTTATGACTCAAATAACTTATTCTGTCTTTTGTGATTCAAAAAACTAAAAGAGCCTAAATGAGCTTTTCCTAAACGATACCTTGACCATTTAATTTTTTTTGTTCCACAAACTGCAACCGCAACTTTTAACTCAACTTGTCAAAACATCACTTACCTTGTTGGCTAAGGTTTGAGTTTAAAGTGTTTGACCATCGATTGATTCAGTTTGAGGTTGGATACTATTTCCTTAACCTAACTTGGCTTGACGTTGATCTTTAATGGCAATAATAATAGCGACAAAAGATGAAAAATAAGTAAAGGTAAAGAGAGTGGTGATCAAATGTGAGATAATAATAGGTTTGATATATATGATTTATAGTGTGAGTAGTTTTGGGACGGTTGAAATTTTGGTTGTTAATTTTAAAAAGTTAATAAAATATTTTTTTAAAAAAAGGTCACACATATAACTAAAAAAATATTAAAAAAAAAAAAAAAACTAACTAAACAAAGCTTAAATCCCCATACCTCAAAAAAATAATAATTTAGAAATTAAATGAGAGGTCTTTGTGGTTAAAAAACAAAAAAAAACTTGATAGTATAATTATCATCATCTCCTAACACTCAAGCATTTTACTTGGAATTTTTTTTTTTACAATTGAGAAATTTTGGTTGTTAATTTTAAAAAGTTAATAAAATATTTTTTTTAAAAAAGGTCACACATATAACTAAAAAAATATTAAAAAAAAAAAAAAAAACTAACTAAACAAAGCTTAAATCCCCATACCTCAAAAAAATAATAATTTAGAAATTAAATGGGAGGTCTTTGTGGTTAAAAAACAAAAAAAAAACTTGATAGTATAATTATCATCATCTCCTAACACTCAAGCATTTTACTTGGAATTTTTTTTTTTTACAATTGATAAAGTAGCGAGTGGTTTGAGATGATCTAAATAAGTATATTTTTTTATTTTTTTATGAAATATAAGTTGAATATGGGTTGAGTTTGAACTGATTTAATAGAGATGTGATATGATGTGATTTAAATAAGATGAAGTGACTTAAATAAGATAGTAGTTTTTTAACTTTTTAATTTTTTTAAATTATGACAAATAAGGCCTAAGTCGGTTGAAATTTTTTGTTATATATAAAAAAGATTAGTAACACTATATAAATTAATAAAATTTTAAAATGTGTTTTACTTGCTTGTAAGGCCCCGTTTGTTTCCAGAGATGGAATGGAGAGGATTAATAGTGAAGGGATTAATAGTGAGGGGATTGTTAGTGAGGGTCATTTGTTTTCAGAGATAGAATGGATGAGATTGATAGTGAGGGGATTAATAATGAGGGGATTAGTAACACTATATAAATTAATAAAATTTTAAAATGTGTTTTACTTGCTTGTAAGGCCCCGTTTGTTTCCAGAGATGGAATGGAGATGATTGATAGTGAAGGGATTAATAGTGAGGGGATTATTAGTGAGGGTCATTTGTTTTCAGAGATAGAATGGATGAGATTGATAGTGAGGAGATTGATAGTGAGGGGATTAATAGTGAGGGGATTAAATAAGATAGTAGTTTTTTAACTTTTTAATTTTTTTAAATTATGACAAATAAGGCCTAAGTCGGTTGAAATTTTTTGTTATATATAAAAAAGATTAGTAACACTATATAAATTAATAAAATTTTAAAATGTGTTTTACTTGCTTGTAAGGCCCCGTTTGTTTCCAGAGATGGAATGGAGATGATTGATAGTGAAAGGATTAATAGTGAGGGGATTGTTAGTGAGGGTCATTTGTTTTCAGAGATATAATGGATGAGATTGATAGTGAGGGGATTAATAATGAGGGGATTATTAGTGAGGGGATTGATAGTGAGAGGATTAGTAGTGAGGGGATTGATAGTGAGGGGATTAGTAATGAGGAATTGTTAAATTATTTTTATATAAAATAATAAAACAAATAAAAAAATATAAAAAATTAAAAATTATATTTTAAAAAAAATTTCCAATATATAAAAAATAAAAAAAATAAAAAAATTTCTAATCCCTTCACTATTTTTCTAATACCATCTTTACCTCCTCACTATGAATCCCCTCCCCAAGGGTATTAGTAATACCAAGGTATTAGCAGTACCCTCCCTATCTCTCAAAACAAACAAGGTATTAGTAATACCAAGGTATTAGTTAGTCCCAAGGTATTAATAGTCCCAAGGTTATCTCTCAAAACAAACACCCTTTATACTAATCCCAAGGTACTAGTAATCCCAATCCCCTTGCTATAACCCTAAACAAACTGGACCTAAATGTCTATCATATTATTAAAGTAGGTTATATCTTTAAAATAAAATTTTGATTTTCTAATTTCATATTACTCCCTCTGTCCCAAAATAATGGTCCCTTTTGGGGAATCCAACTTTTTTTGGTAGTACAATTATTGTACTTTTAAAAAGTTTATTTTCCAAAATTACCCTTTGCTAGTACACTTTTTTGAGAATATCAATATCATAATTGTACTTTTTATATTATTTATGAATTTAAAAGAAGGGCAAAATGGGAAATTTATATTATTTTTGTACTTGATTTTTGAAAATAGACTAATATTTTGGGACAATAAAAAATGGAATAAGGGACTAATATTATGGGACGGAGGGAGTAATTGATAAAAGTAGGGTTTATCTTGGGTTCTTGAAAAAAAAAAAAAAAAATCTCCTAATTTTCTCACACCTGTTCATATCCTGTTCTCCGTCTCTCTCACCTCCGTATTGCAACCTCCAACGACAATTTCTGACACACCCTCTCTTTCTCTCTCTCTCTCACTTCACTCTCCTCTGCTGCCTTTCTCTAACATGAGCCTAGCCTACACTGCGCACCTCCGGCTATGACTCCCGACCCTCTAACCAAACCTCGCCGCCTCTCCACCACCTGCCACCGCCACCCTTCAAAGCCCGTCACCGGCTTCTGCGCCTTGTGCTTGCATGAACGCCTAGCTGTCCTTGATTCCTCCGCCACATCCGCCAGCACCTCCGGCGTAGGCGGCGGTAGAGCTAAGGGGACCAGTGGCCGGATCAGAGCCGGCGAGGCGGAGCTCCGCCGTTGTCAGTCATATTCTGCGAGCAAATGCGGAGGTTCTTACGGCGTATCGGAGCCGCGGAGAAAGTCTTGCGATGTTGGGGGTCGGAATACACTGTGGCTTCTTTTCAACCTCGACGATGAAGAGAATGGTGTGAAAAGAGTTGAATCGAAGAACTTAGGGTTTTCGGGAGTTACTGGTTGTTCGGCGTTCGAATCTGAAGAGGTACAAAATGGATATGAGATAAGGGTTTCTGAAGATGCGTTGGAGCAAAATGTCAATGCAAGCGAGCAGAGAGTCGAAGAAGAGGTTGAAGAAGAAGAATTGAAGACGATGAAAGAGCACATAGAACTCGAATGGAAGAGTCGAAAGCAGACCGGGAGGGATTTGAAGAACATTGCTGGAAGTTTCTTGGTCGCTGCGTCGATTTTCAGCCAGAAATTGCGGAAATGGAGGCTAAAGCAGAGGCCGAACAACCGCCGTGGTGGCCGCGGCGACAGAGGAGGAGGAGATTTATCCCCGGCGGCGAAGTTAAATGGGCGGAAGCTGAGGGAGACGCAGTCGGAGGTCGGAGATTATGGATTCGGGCGGCGATCTTGCGATACAGACCCAAGGTTCTCAGTCGATGCTTGTAGAATTTCTTTAGATGATCCAAGGTTCTCATTTGACGAACCTAGGGCTTCTTGGGATGGGTATATGATTGCGAGGACGATTCCTAGGCTCGCGCCCATGCTTTCTGCTATTGATAATGTGATGATTCAACCTATAATGAACAAGTCTGAATTTGGGATATCAGTTGAAGATCAGATGACTTCGATAATCGAAGATGAGATGACTTCTGGTGGATCAGCTCATACCAGGGATTACTGCTCTGATTCATCGTCTTCTCATAGGCAAAACAGTTTCGATTGTTCAAGTTCAAGTAGAAGTTCAAATAAGAAGACAGTGGTAGTAGAAGTTGATGAAATGAAATCCATTCCCAATTCCCATGTGTCTCCTTCAACCATTGATGTCTTCCACAGGATGAAATTTGTAGTTACAGACAGAGATACAGGAAATTCGAACTTTAATTCGATCAGATTTGATCATTTGGAGAACCTTGAATCTGCTTCCAAGGATGCCAGTTCTGTTGCTGGTGGTGGGTACTTGAACCGGTTCAAGAAATTTGGAAGGTGGCGAAAGGGGTGGAACATTTTGGGTTCTAAACATAGGCTCAGCGACACTAGAAATGGTGAAGTAGACGGGAATTTGAATTGCCACCCACTTAGAGATTGTGAAGCAAAACAGAGTGAGGAGGCCAATGGGGCTTCGCTTGCTCGGAGTGGCAGTTGTGTTAGTGCTAGGAGTTATGATAAAAAGATGGGGTCGTATCACCGGTCATTGAGTGTTGCTGAGGCCAGAGGCTATGCTAAGAAGGGTAGAGAAGAATCTGTTTTGGAGCGAAACCGGAGTGCTAGGTATTCCCCAAGCAATCTCGACAATGGGCTATTGCGGTTTCATTTGACACCGTTGTGGAGCTATAGAAGGAAATCTGGAAGAAACAGACTAAAAAACTCGCAATCCATTGCCAGGAGTGTGTTGAGGTTGAACTGAGCTAAAGGTACTACACTGTTGGTGTTATTCATTGGAATGTAATCCTGTAAAGATATATATTTATCTGTTTCTTTCATGTTTGGACAAATGCACAAATATTGTTACTTCTCTGCACTTAGAGCATGCTTTTCTGTGATGTAATAATGCAAGTTTTAACATTTCTTGGCAACTGGTGTTTGACTATGAGAATTTTCATGGCAGAGTGCGGTTTACAGTATGCATAAATGAAACCGTTATAACATATTTTTTGTTTGTGTTCAAAGATGTTAGTCGGGGTAACTCATATTTTTATTGTAGTGATCATATTTTTGTGGTTGCAAAATTTGTGATACTCGCATCGCATTAATTTTTGTTTCACAGTGTCTTCGAAGTATTTGATAGTTCATGCTCTTGTGCTGTAGAAAGTAAGATGAGAATGTTAATCATAATGACTTATTGACATTTTCCACTGAAATTTGTGAACATTTAACTGGAATAGAGTATATTTACACCATCAAGTTGTTTCCTCCCCCCTCCTCCCAAATGTAGAGGATAATGATGGTTTTTCACACTAATCTTCATTTTAGTTCTTTGAAGTTGTGTATCAGCTAAATTATTAATGAATCCTGTAAGTGTTATTTCTCTATTGTTTAGATTAGGAGCAGAATGTGTGAAAAAAGAAGGAAAAAAAAATAGCCTTGTGAGTCAAGAAGTTTTTCTTGTTTTCTTTGTGAATAATGGAAATACTAAATGTTACCTTAAAAAATGAATTGAAGGAAAATAGAAATGACTTACTTACCTGTTAGTTATTCAAGAAAACAGTTATGGTACCCACATATATATATTTTCTGCAACTGAACACATATACAAGAAAAGAAAACGGTTTTTATTTTCCTTTTCCTGTCAATTGAACACAGCAGAAGGGAACTGCCAACATTTTCCGTGGCACAAATTTTGGAAAGTTTTAGCACTGATTTAATTTTGGGATCTAGTAGATAACATAATACCTGGAATAATTCGGAGAATTTCCAAGAAAGGATTCTGTATTACAAGAAGGGTTAACCGTTGACAAAAATAGGATACATTTCATTCTCATGTTTATGTGGAATAAGTGAGTTGCAAATCATTTGCTATAGAGTAATTGTGGATAATCTGGAAATATGGAAAAGATACAGGAAATGTTTGGAAATTGTTTGTTTGACATAAAAATCAGCATAAATTCAGGGATCTGCTAAAATGATAGTTTTGAATAAAGGCGATTAAATCTCTATTAACTAAACTTTGAAATTATTGTTGTATTAGAATGCTTACATTGTATCCATATATAATTAATTTTTCTTGCTATATTTTTAGCAATTCTTATCCTGCTTTCAAGAGATTATGCATTTTGTTGGTTGACAGGTCACAATAAACAAAGTGTAAGTGGATTATAACTGAATGGTTTTGTTTTGATTTTCCAAATGTTTTATTTTCCAACTCTCCAATGTTCTTGTCCTTTTCAAGATCTTTGCACATTTCAATGGTAGGCTGGGATGAACCTTCGGCCTCTCCATTATTGAAAGAGTAATATTAGGGTTCTCAAATAATCTATTAAATGTTTTACCAAACCTCTCACATGGGTGTGGGACTAGACACTGGGTTTATGTGAGTCCTTCACTCATCTGAGAGATTTGGTAAAATATTTGATAGATTATTTGAGGTTCATAGCATTTTTCTTACTGAAAATCACTTACAAATGGTAATTTTGTTAAGCTTGGGTGTAATTCATATTTGAGGTCTTATTTGTTTATCTGAGAGGCCTTGGACCTGCTTGTATATGATATGTTTGATATCTTTATATATGGTTTGAAGGGGAGAGTTGGATACCTCTTTCAAACATTGCCGTAAGCAAAAGTAAAGTCTTGTGCACTGAATTACTTTTTTTAAGTTGAGAATCAACAATTCTAAGCCTCCGTTTGGGAAGTGGGTTGACTTTTTAATTTTTTAGTTTTTTTGGTTGTTTGAGCCTGGGCTCAAAAGCTTGGTTTGGGAAAGGTTTTTTGGCTTTTTGATTTTTTTTACTTTTTTTGTGAGAAAAGAGCGTAATGATTATGGATTGGATGTGATGTTTTGTCTGTTGTGGCTCAAATAACCTATTCTGTCTTTTGTGGCTCAAAGAGCCGAAAGAGCCCAAATGAGCTCTTTCCAAACGACACCTAATAGACCGGGGAACTTTCAAAATTTTACCTCGAAATTAAGGAAAATATTAAAAGATGTGTATGATATGTACCTTATAACTATATAAGAAAATTATATAATTTTATACTTTCTGGACGATAATTTAAAATAAAATAACAATAAAACACAAAAAAATCATAATTAAATATTTCAAAATAATGTCATAATTAAAGAAGAAAATTGATAATAATTAAAGAAGAAAATGACTTAACTAAAGATGCATATGGTATGGGAGTGTATAATAGAATTCTCTCAAAAAATAATGTGTAGGGCATAGATTTTTTTTTTTTTGATAACCGGATGTTCGAGATAGTTTATACATACCTCAACCAATTTTACGAGACCAATCCTATCATTCACTTACAGGAGTCCCATTAAAAGCTAGCACACATAGAGGGAGCATACCCTAGGCTTCAAATTTTTTTCACTTGATCAACCCCTGAGGTTGTGGAGGGTATAGATTTAGGGAGGTTTTGTGGACTTATTATCTAGTGTGCAATATTAGGATTATAAAATTTTTTGTGATACAAAATTTTTTACCATATAAAATGACCCACACCCATGTGTGATCGACACTACACCCATATGTGACCCACATTCACGTTAGTATTTAGCAAAAAAATTGATAAAAAAATTAGGATGTCTATCAATCTCGTTCTCATGCGCGAAGGAAGGGTGCTTGTGCTGCTACAAATTTTAATTGCCTAGTTCTTTACATAAAAAAAAATTGTTATTGCGGTTCGTATCGGTAGATAATGTGATACTGTTTTTAGCATTAGTACAATGCAAAAATAAAAATTAATAAAATATATTTTATGTTGTCAATATAAACACGTTTATTTAAAAAAATATTCACTGAAAAAAAATATTTTTCAAACTAAATTTTTACCACACCACCCCAATACCAGTATCACCACAATCATTAACACATTAGGGTTTATTTGGGGTGTCCTAAATAAGTGTACTTTTTATTTTTTTAGATTAAAAAGTTGAGGAAAAAATATATGGATGTTTGAGTTAACTTTTTGATTTTTTATGAAAAAATGTGTATTAAAAAATTGTATAAAGAAGTGTGTAGGAGAAGATTAGAGATGTGTGTGTTGTACAGTCGTACAATATGCATAGCCAAATTGATGGTAAAAAATTATTGGCTACTTTTCGGGCATTGCATTGGACGGTTTTGTTTGGCCCACGGGGGCCATCACGTGTCCCATTTTGATCGTCTGAACCGTTCAATGTGTAGAATTCGTCGAGTACTATATGCCTATAAAAAATCACGCTGATCAGATATCGATAGTTATTTGATCAGATTTATTTTTTTTCAATCGTTAATTATAACACCATCAATTTTTTTATACAAAATTGATTTGATCATGTAGTTATCGATATCTGATCAACGTGATTTTTTACAAAAATATAGTACTCGACGAGTTCTACACATTGAACGGTTCAGATTATCAAAACGGGACCCGTGATGGGCTTCCACGGGCCGAACAACAGTATGTGAAAATTTGCACCCAAACTGTGTAATTTTTCTTCACAAACGCTGCACAGCGCTGAGATCACATGATTGCTGAGTTGTATGGATGTGTGGAAAATTAATTTTTTAATATTTTTTTTGGTGAATAGTGATAATTTTTTAACTTTTTGAATAACTTTTTGTCTTTTTTAAGAGATGCCAAACTTGCCCTCAGTCAAAATTGCAATCAAATATTAAAAAATATTTTTTTGTCAAAACCAAAGTACTCTCAACAAGAGAGACTTCAAAATCTGAGTCCAAACCGACATGTCCCAGTCGGAACCCTAAGAACAGCCCAGGTTTCAACAAGTGTGGTGGGCTGGTCCCCTATGTTCGTTTCATCATTAAACCAGAATGCGAATTGCCAAATAAAACAATGGTCCTGAGCAATGCAATGTTCCAGTTATTTCTTTCCTGTTTTGGCTGATCCTCAATTACTAGTGATTCCAACTTCATGCAGGCAAGTGGCAGTCTGTTTTCACTTTTCAAGTTAAAAAGGTTAAATGAATTTTAAGATACTGGTTGATAAAATTTATAATTTACTAATTTTAGTTTATAGAAAATATTAAACATTTTATATTTATTTTTGATAAAAAAACAAAATAAACATATTTGGTACACACTTGTTTTCAAACAAGTGAAAGGAATTGGATGGTAGGAGGTGGTTGTTAGCAGCCCAATGTTGTGATCCAAAGTGGTTGCCACTTGTGGGAGGTGGTTGCCGGACTGCAAAGATGGTTGGTGACCGAAAGTGATTGCTAGTAGTTGGAGATGGTGGTCACCAATTGACTTGAGGTGGTGGCTGAAATTGGTTTTCGCCAAGAAACAGTGGCCAACCATGGAAGGTAATTGTTGGAAGAGGTTATCGACGATGGTGACTGGCAATGTTTAAAAGAACAGGGAGAATGAGTAATAAAGAAACAAAATTCTAAATAAATGAAACTAATTTTTTTGCAGTTACAAAATTTTAATAAATTTTATAAATTGTATACAATTTTTTTGAAAACGAAAATGATCTAAATAAGTGCATTTTTTTGTCTTTTTACGAAAAGATGTGCAGAAAAGTATAGAGGTGATTTGATGAAAAAAAAATAAAAAGATAAAAAGATAAAAAAAGATAGATTATTTTAAGAATGCCAAACTTGGCCTAAATGAATTTTGTTTACAGTTTTCAAAATTTCTAAAAATATAAACAAAAATTGGTATTAAACAAGCTAAAATTAACTTTTTAAGAGTGAATAAACATGCCCAATGTGCAGGATCCACAAGCTTGTAAGAGCTTCTCTTTAGTAATTGTTGAATGAAAAAATTACTGTGGCCCAAACTACTTAAATTTGGGAAGAGAACCCCTCTATGCCCACCATGCATGCAAGCAAGCTCTATGTTTACAAAGTGGGCTTTTCCTCCCAAAGGGGAAAACTTGTTTGAACACTCCCCAAGATGTGAGTTCTATATTCATAATTTACAATTCAATAGTAACAAGAAACACCAATGGAGGATATAAAATTCATTCAAAGTCATGTGCTACACTAGGGATTGAAACAAATAGCTCTTCACATTTTCAAAGGTGGAAACCAAGCAAGGGACAAATTGCATCACGCAGCGATAAAGACTCGAATCTAGACATCATACCAGGTAACGTTCAAAGTAGGCATTTACCAAAGAACATCAACATAAAAATATCCCCAAAAGAAAAAAAAAACCACAAGAAAATTGTCTCAAGTTTAAAAAGACAAAACTAGTCAGGCTAGTAAATTACATAGTTCAGAGCTGAATTCAGATACAAAAACAAACCAATGGCTAACAAAAAGGATCGCGAGATACAAGAGTTTACCATGATTTTTCATTTTCAGTTGAACCCAAACACTTTTATGTGCTTTACCTGTTTTACACATTACAATACAAAACATCTCTCTTAACCTCAATCGGGGTCTGAAAAGAGTAAGATAGTCATCTTCGCCCAGTCAAGTACCTGGTCTTCACATATTTACTACTGCTCGAGGTAACGCTATCGGCTCTGCACCTTTTTCGGGAACTTTTTGAATGAGGGGCCTCATCGGTCTCATCGTCATCGGTGTCAGTAATTTTGCATCCGGCCCTGGTCTGGATACTCATGCGCCGAGGTACATAGACATTGAAGTAGTAGCTTACTATGGCTTCTCTGTGCTGGGAAGGCAAACGCTCCAACGCAGGCTTCAAAAAACTTTTACCCTGAGATATGGGATTCGATTTCACAAGATAATCGAACTTTCTCTGCTCCTCTAAATTCCACAACTTCGAAACATCTTGTCCCATCTCATCAAATCTCCATTTCCAAAAGGCGGGACCCAAACCAAACTGCAGCTGGAGCCTCTTGTCAGTGACGTGGCGTTTAACGCATTCGATAGATCCAGGGGAGACACATGGGCAAAATTCGGGCCTCCCTCTCCCAACCACACCAGCTTTTGTATCTGGACCATTGCCTTTGATTGGCCAAACTTGGATGCCCAACCATTTTGAAGTATCTGATTCATTGTGAGAACAGTCCTTGTGAGGTGGACCAGTCCAAGCTGGAATTTCAGCTTGGAAACGGGGTCCAACAGGAATTGCCAGTCTGAGACGATCATCGTTGATGTATTCTATCCATTTTGTTGGCATCGGCTTCTGTTGCTTTGGCTTAGGCTTTGGCTGCTTTGGCCTCTGCATACTTGATGAGTTTGGATTCTTGACCAAGTAGTCGAAATAGAACAAGGACGGTTTGAATATCAGAACAAAATGCTCTGAGAAAACTATCTATGTTCTTCAAAATATGATTATCAAAACGATCAGCCGAGTCAAGGGTTATTGAGTAAGCAATATATCAATGAGGTGAAGGAACAACACCACCATGTTGACTTGGTTGTTTTATGCCCCACAAATTTCTTTAATTCGAAGATAGTGGAAATGTGCTCGACAAACTGATGAAGTCGACACCTTTTTCTAGAAAATGGAGAAAGGATGAGTAAATTGTTTTAGTTTAGAGATTGTATATTGATGTGGCATTGAAAAGAATTATATGAAGAAAAAAACAACGTCAAATGGAGAAATTCTAAAAACGTCTAAATAGCACACATTAATGTGTGCTTGGAAGGGAAAAGATTAGGTACACGCCTAACCTTTGGCATAGTACACAAAGTGATTGTCCCGAGACTTGAACCTATAACTTCAAGGTTATTAAGGCAAGGTTTTACCATTGAACCAGTGGTCATCTCTTAAATGGAGAAATTCTCAAAGAGGAAAAATCAATCAACAAGGTTGAGAGATTACAGGTAGACCTAGATTGTGCTTAGAGCGGACGAATAGATTAAACCCATCCAAATATCACCAATTTAAACTTCAAAGCAACAAATAAAGTCTAGATAGTTATTCAATTACTCAGATCACAATCACACATGAAAACACACGGTTTACAGGGACACTCTTAAATAAAAGATCAAAACAATCCACTGTAATCAAGTGTTGATACAAGACTCAAGATAAGTGAGTTACAACGCTAACTCAGATACACTTGAGAATTAAGACTGGAATCCTTGAGATTGTTAAGTAAGATAATTGGAGATGCCCACCAAGGATAATCAAAAGACTAGTTTGGTAAACTGATTCTGAATGCTATTTTAGGGAAACATTTCTGAAAACAAACCACTTTTTAAGAAAATATACAAAAAGATTTTTTTTGAATTTTTGAAAACCATTTTTACACAACAATGAAAATGATGGGTGCTTTCAAGATTTTTCATTGCTTTTGTATCCTAAAACATGAAAAATGAAAATGTAACCAAACAAGGTAGAGTAATTCAAGAAATTAAAGCTAACACTCATGCTTCTTTTTAGGCCTATGGTTTCTAAACCTGATGAAGTGATGTGTGTGATTAAACAGATAGAAGAGGAGTTGAAAGCCAGAAGAATATTAGAACAATATTCAAAGTAATCTTCCTAATTGGCATTCTCATACCCAAAATATGATTTCTCAAACACATACAAGCCTAGTAAATTACTCAATCATCTACCAAAATAGTGAAATCAAAGTCTCAAAACAGTCTAAACAATTTGACAACCAAAACCACTATTTCCTAATGAAGATCTCAATAGTTTCATATCCCTATATGCTATAAATTATAACTCCAAACAACTTCAAAACCAACTTCCAACTATACCTTTCTTCTTCAAAAACAGAATTTTGCACCTTTGAAGTACCTTCCGTTTGTTTTAGCAGAAAATATTTTTTTAAGTTTGGTTGCAACTTTGAAACTAATGCACTAGTGGTGGTGTTAATGGCGGTGTCAGTGAGATGATGATGATAGAGGAAGTGGTGGTGGTGGTGGGTTGTGGTGATGTAGTGGTGATGATGTGGTGGCATTAGCCATACTTTAGTTCAAGATATGTTTTCTACAATCCAAAAGAAGAACACATTTTCAGCCCAACAAGCTTGTTTTCCACAGAAAATGTTTTTCGTCATACCAAACAGCATAAAAATTTTCAAAAAATATTTTCTACCGAAACAAACAGCTTGTACTTTAAAGGTGCCTATCTGAATTTGGCATAGTCCTATCCATTCCCACTCCAGAATATGCTACATACCCTCACACCTCCAAGCATGCTAAAGTCAACCAAAGTTTGGAGGTAGAAAAAAATGGAGCCAAAACAGAAATACCCATCTCCAATTTTTTCCCTAAATTCACCCAACATCACCCCTCTTCATCGCTTGTCCCTGTACGAATTCAGATTTGCAGAGCCGTTGTAACCATCAATCAACGGTTCTGAACCTAGATTCAAAACCTTCTCTAACCTCAACAAAGCGTAGAGAATCGAAATCATAAAATTTCAAGTTCGAAAACCCTAAAGCGCAGTGACTTTCGAACTGTTCAAATTAATTATAATAAAAAACCCTAACCCTAAAATTTGATTGCGAACTACAACATATATCAATGGAAGGTTCGCATAATCGAGCTGATTCGTGAAGAAATCAATAGGACCCATCGAATTATCGAACGATTTTTTCTTTTTTTCTTTCCTTTTACTTTCCCCCTCTTATGTAAGAGAAAATGGAGAGAAAAAAAAAATACAATAAATGGCAATGGAAAATAACTCCTATTCCTACCACCAAAATGTAATTTGGGCATAGTTAATTTTGCAATTTATGTTTTTTTTTTAAGATTTGTAATTATATATTAACCACTAAGGAATTTGAAATGTTGATAGTGACTAAGTTTCGTATCTATTAGAAGTAAAATTTTGAGACTGATGAATTGTTTACCTCTTTTAATCTTTTGTCGTTGTTTGTCGACGACAATCAAATGACTTTTTCTTCAGTACCGGGCCTGTTAAAAATAAAATGAAAGATAAAAGGGAGAAAAAAACTAAAATTTTCTTAGAAGTAATTTGCATTTTTGCCTGTATCAAACTAGAAAATTTGGAAACCTCACAAAAGAGCCTCCAAAGCACAAGTGAAGCCACCCTCAAATGTCTCTTCTTGTTGTGAGTTTTAAGAGTCCTTATATAGGTTTGAAGAGCATGGCAACATCATTTTAAGAAAAATATTATTTAAAACTCTTAAAAGGTTATGTGATTGCTTTGAAAATTAACTATTTTAGTTAAAATTTTTTATAAAAAGATGTGTAAAAAAATAGAGAGAATAATTGATTTTTTGACTGTTTTATGTCCCGTTTGGAGAGTTAAGATTTTAGTAAAAAAAAGTCACTACAAATTGTCAAATCATTCTTTATATTTTTTTGCATGGCCATGTATATAATCCAATTTTTTATTTCACAAATTAATAGGATTCACATTTATAAAGGTATATGAGACCCATTCACTTGCCTCTTTAAGTGAGAGAATGAAATAAAAGATATAATTATATGTAGCATTTTTGCCTAGATATATGTGTAGAGGTGCTAAATACACTCAAAACAATTTTCTTTACATTTTGCCTAGATATATGTGTAGAGGTGCTAAATACACTCAAAACAATTTTCTTTACACTCATTGTAGAATCATTAGGTGCTCCACAGGCATCGCTATCCCTACCACCATCTAATCACTAATTGTTTCTTACTGGTTAGACACAAATTAATAGGATTCACATTTATAAATGTATATGGGACCCATTCACTTGCCTCTTTAAGTGAGAGAATGAAATAAAAGATATAATTATATGTAGCATTTTTGCCTAGATATATGTGTAGAGGTGCTAAATACACTCAAAACAATTTTCTTTACACCCATTGTAGAATCATTAGGTGCTCCACAGGCATCGCTATCCCTACCACCATCTAATCACTAATTGTTTCTTACTGATTTTTCTTGCTGCAACACAAAATCATGGATCCTACTCTTTTTTTCTTTTTTTTCTTCTTCTTCTTTTTTTTTTTTTTTTTTTTTTTTTTTTTTTTTTTTTTTTTATCAATTCCAACTTCTTTGAGACATTACTTGACTATATCCAAAGACTACAGACTATTGAGTAACCTCTCCCCACTCCATTGTATAAGATTTTTCATAAAATACAAGGTGGTGTTTGGTTTGATTTTTAAAACATGATTTGAAAGAAAAATAAAATTAAAAAGCTTATTTAGTTAACTAATTTTTAAAATACAACCCCCTTAATTTTCTTTCTCCTCTCTCTTTCTATCTTTTTTTTATTATTAATAAATAAATCAATCACTCTTTTTTTTTCTCCTCTCTCTCATTCTCTTATATTTTATATATCAATCAATCAAATTTTCTCTCACACTTATCTATTCAACTAAAAAAAATCAAAAAAAATTACAAATCATTCAAAAACTATTTTTAAAACTTATAACTAAACAAATTTTTAACTTTAAATTTTTTTTTGAGTAACTTATCTTTCAAAATATAATTCAAAACTCATTTTAAAAACGAAATCAAATGAAGCCCAAGAGTTTCAATGCATAAATTGGGTGTAGATGAAAATATGAAAAATGGTAGGAATACTATGGCTATGTTTGGAACGCTTTTTCAAAGCTAATTCTATCCCCTTTATTTGAGTTTCATGTTTGTTTACGGTTTTTCAAAGTTAATTCCATATTCAATTTTGAAAACTCTGTCTTAGGCGGGAAAATTTGGGCTAACCGATTGTCCCACTGGTCATCCGGTCGGTTGCCTGGAACAGTAATTTTTTTTTTTTTTTTTTGCAATTGACACATATTAATTTTTATATATTCGGGAAAAATATTTTTTGAATTTTTTATGAGCTTTAATAGAATTTTGAGTTATGTGTTTGGTTATGAGTTGTAAGTTTTTATATCAAATACATATGTCACATCAAAAATTCTCTACTCAATTCAAAACTCTTTCACCAAACAAATTTTCTACACTCAAATCATAATTTCAAAACTCATAAACTCAAAATACATCTTTTACTCTCAAATCCTATTTAGAAAGCTCTACCAAACGCAACCTAAATTTTTTACCAAACAAATGACCAAATGTCTCTCACATAAGTGTGTGGTAATTTTGTGAATCTCACATCCATGTGAAATATTAGATCATTTATTTAATAAAAAATTTAAAATTTATAATATTTTCTAGAAAATATATAAGGAGTACTTAAGAGGTCAACTGATGAACCCCACTACCAAAAGGGGTGATAAGGTTGGAGTAAAGTTACATGGCCCACTGAATAATTTCTTCATTTTAAAAGAAGGGGTTGGTTTACCTATATTTCAATGAGTAATGTCATACAAATTAATAAATTTTGTAATTTTTTGGGGGGAGAGATTTCTTTTTAGTTGGAAAAATTAATTGGAGGATGTTATTAGGCCTCCGTAGGCCTACTACAGAGCCCACATCGATAATTTGAATTATTCAAATGTGTTGGACTTGTTGAATACTTAATCATTTCAAAAAATCACGTTAATCAGATATCAATAATCACTTGATCAGATCACATTTGATTTAAAAAAAAAAAACAATATTTGTTAACACAAATGTGATCTGATCAAATGACTATTCATATCCGATCAAATATTAGATCATTTATTTAATAAAAAATTTAAAATTTATAATATTTTCTAGAAAATATATAAGGAGTACTTAAGAGGTCAACTGATGAACCCCACTACCAAAAGGGGTGATAAGGTTGGAGTAAAGTTACATGGCCCACTGAATAATTTCTTCATTTTAAAAGAAGGGGTTGGTTTACCTATATTTCAATGAGTAATGTCATACAAATTAATAAATTTTGTAATTTTTTGGGGGGAGAGATTTCTTTTTAGTTGGAAAAATTAATTAGAGGGTGTTATTAGGCCTCCGTAGGCCTACTACAGAGCCCACATTGATAATTTGAATTATTCAAATGTGTAGGACTTGTTGAATACTTAATCATTTCAAAAAATCACGTTAATCAGATATCAATAATCACTTGATCAGATCACATTTGATTTTAAAAAAAAAACAATATTTGTTAACACAAATGTGATCTGATCAAATGACTATTCATATCCGATCAACGCAATTTTTGCAGGGATAAAGTACTTAATGAGTCTTACAGATTGAACTCTTTAGATTATCGATGTAGATTTCACGGTGAACCTGTGGAAGCCCAACAACACCCTTCAATCCAATATGAACTAAAGATAAACCTCTCTCTGTTTACACTAATGCGATACTTATTAACGCGACACCTATTACATTATTAAAGTTGTTTCAGTTTAAGTTTCTAAAATATCTTTTTTTTGTTACAATTGTCTTGTTTTAAAATTATAACTTCTTTTTTTTTAAAAAAAAAAATTAGATATCACAACAATTAGTAAGAAAATTTGTCAGATTTATTGATACGTTTCCCTTCAATCTATGGAAAACCTTATCGTGTACACCCTTTTAGTGTATGCTATATACACCCTATCATAAAAATGTATACCTTTATAAAAAATTATATACAAGTCCACATTTTAGATCCATTTTCTAAATCCAATAATGTGTAAGCGATATTATTAGTTGATGATTGAGAAAATATGAGAGAAAGTGTTGTCTTTAATATCCTAATTGATTTCTACATCACTGGATTTGAAAATTAAGTCTATTTTTCAGTCTTGAATAACAATGCTCTAACTTTATTACAATAATTTGTAATATCAATCACAAAATGCATAACCTCTCGACAAATTAACGTAACAAAATATTTAAAATTTTGTAGTTGATATTGTAAAAGTTTATTTTGTTACAACATTTTTTTTATTACACCAATTTATGGCGAGATTACGTATCTTATAATTAATATTACAAAATTTTATGATAAAATTAAAATTACACATTTTATAGTAAGATGCATATGATATGCCCTACTAAATGGTGCACAACATTTCCCCTTCAATCTAGATATACAATGTATATGGTCTTAATACGAGTGCTCCTATTAGTACCCATCAATTATTTTAAACCCCCCATTTCTTTGAAAACCCACTTATAAATTTTAAAACTCTTAAAATTTCTTTTCTCCCCTCAAATAATACCAAAACTGTCCTTATGAAAATATTTCACTCATTCAATTGAATGCACACCCCTACACCCCAAAAAGCCTCTCCCAAAAATTCTTACAAAACTCACAAAGATGATTATTATTTCATCTCCACATACTTGTTCATGACTTGAGAAAATAGATGTTCGGTTACATGTTTCCGAACAAATAAACAATGTTCAGGTTTGTGTTTCTGAATTCCGATCATATATTCGGGAGTTTAGTCTTAAAAAAATGACAAACAATTTTTATTATTTTTGCCATTTTTTTCAAGAAATTTACTCTTATAAGGTCAATATTTTTTTGAGTTAAGAACACCATCAAAGTTATGAACCTTCTCTGAGCTTTTATTATTGCACTCCTCTCGTTTCATGGAGTTGTGCTCGAAACACTTCTAATCATTGTCATTGCTGAAGAAGTGTATGTAATCAAATGGTAGCCATTGTTACCACCGAAATATTGCCGCCAAAGAATTTTTAAAGTTTTGAGGGTAGATAGGTTTGAAAGTGAGATTTGGAGAAGATAGAAGGGTGGTAATGGAGGTAGGTGCTCTTATAAATCTTAACTCGTGATATAGTTGGTGTATGAATTTAATTGTAAGATGAGGTGTCTTAAAATTATTAAAATCATTTTTAATAATTTCATTTGAGATTATTATTATAATAAAAAAAATAAAAATAAAAATAAATTGATGAGATATTAATAATAGCCCTCGTTGATAAAATCATGGCTTGTCAACATGAAAAATAAATTTTGAAAACGTAACATCCTAACAACAATATATTACTAGTAGTCATCATAGAAATGATAATGTTAAAATAATTAAAATTTCGATGTATTTCAATGCACTTTATTTATTTATTTTTTTATAGCTATTCTCATAGTTGTTTGGACAAAACACCAATAAATTTTAAATTTTAATTTGTTAAACTATTTGATCTTGTCTTTTATTTTGTAGATTAATAAGTTCTATTTGAATGTTAAAGGTTCACTATAGGCCTTT